CTTTAATATTTATATTTGAATCGCGCTCAGACCTTGGTTTATAAGGGAATTGTGGGCTACTGTGGTAGGAAGTGAGCAATGTTGCAATGGTTTTTGCAATAAGTGGTCCGGCTAGTTTCTCATTATATATAACCAGCACTTCTCAACCCTTCAAAAAAAAAAACAATAATCGTATCTCAAGTATAAATCTGCTTGAACTTACTCATCCTTTTTTCCATTCTTATTTCTTGTATTTCACGATCGTAATATTCTGGATACTCTTCTAATTCATCTAATTTTTTCAACATTTCTTCATCCACTTCATACACTTCACCTCTAACATTATGACCGCGACCGCATTTGTCCACCAAGAATGGAATATTAAATCGAGTACTTATAATCAGTGGATATCTTTCAAATAAAATAAGCACTTGTACGAATATATGGTAAGAATTAGGAGAAAATTTTTCAAAATAGGGCAAAATCGAACGCCAGGTCTATAAAAATTGTATAAAACTATTCAGGAGACGTACAAGGGGAGATAAATGCCTATTTTTTATACATTTATATATACAAGATTATATATTATATTTCAAATCAACTAAAAAGTGTTCAAATCAACTAAAAATTTTTTAAAACAAACAATAAGTGTTCAAATCAATTAAGAATTTTTCCAAATCAACTAAGAATTTTTCCAAATAAACTAAGAACTTTTCCAATTCAACTAAAAAGTGTTCAAATCAACTAAGAATTTTAGCAAATCAACTACGAATTTTTTCAAATCAACTAAAAATTTTTCCAACTCAACTAAAAAGTGTTCAAATCAACTAAGAATTTTTCCAAACCAACTAAGAATTTTTCCAAATCAACTAAAAAGTGTTCAAATCAACTAAGAATTTTTCCAAACCAACTAAAAAGTGTTCAACTGAAAAACGAATCATAAAAGCGGATTTAAATACAAACGTCCATACACACTACGGTAAGTCCATTTATAAAAATTAAATTCAGAACGAAAGTAAATAAATAATACATAAAAAGCTTTTATTTAGATTCATCGAAATATATTGAAAAATATTTTTTTTATTTTACATATATATAAACTTATGTACAGATCGGCTTTGTTGCCTTTCTGAATGTAGAAAATTCTTCATTAATTTCTATGTTCACATCGTCACTTATTTTAACTTATGGAATTGATTCTTGTTTGTGGTGGTTCCCGCGCTAGCAATTATCTGGATGATACGATACACAAACTCTTTAAAAAAGTTATCCCGTCAGCTGAAGGCGGTTACTGTTATATCCGTTTTATGTGTACTTTTTACACGTATTGAATTCTTTTTCTAAATGATTTATACACTTCGTTTTTAGAACATGTTTATTTGAATTATACCATACTTCAATTTTATAATATGGTATCTGTGCAAAAGTATAAGCATGTTTTTCCGGAGAGAAATTACACACTAATCAAAATACATGAGAAATTCAATATCGATACGGGCAAGCCTAACTTGGGGTGACCAATCTTAAAATCCAAATATGAAACTAGCTAAATGTACTCCTTTTGATAACCACTGATGAGATTTAAAAATGGGCCCGTGTCAACGAAATTTTCAAGAGTTATGGAAAAGATCGTTGAAAAAATTCGGATAATCGAAAAAATTATTCTTAGCTATCAGCTGTTGTTTGATTTAATGATCTTCTTGATGAACAGAATTCCTCTATTTGATGAACGTCCAAAAGGACACTTGCGTGCAGCGTGTGAAACATGGGCAATATTGAATAAAATTCGCACTCGGTTTTCCGAGTGAGGCCAGATTTTAATTGTTAACAATGAACGATGCTCTCTACCGCTCCAAGCTAGATGGCTACATCCCACAATTGTATGTCACCGATAAGAAGTCTCAAATTTGAACTCAATCGACTGGAAGAGAATACAACTTTTATTAGAATAATCGGGCAGTTTATATTATTTATTTTTAAGCTTATCGTACTCTTTTCTCGGCGAGATCGTATTCTCCACCGGCAAACTGATGAGACTAACGGAAAGGAAGTTGTCTGGTTGCATCTTAGTCACGCTACTATGCATTAGGTCAAGTCCGTGCAGATGAAAAAAAAAACAGAAGAAAGTCAGCTCAAAAATTAGAAAATGACCCTAACAGTTTTAAGGCTTAAGAGATTACACGAATGCCAGAAGGCAAAATTTTTAAATTGAAAACCGACTGTGTACCTCCAACACATAATGCACATATATTTCGCAACCCCTTCAGCCTTTGTCGTCTCAAATTGTATTTAAAATAAATCGAATTTTTCAGAATTTATCCTCTTTTTCGAAAAGCAGCTGTGTACTTTCAATTGAATTAACAATTGTTAGAAATGATTTTTTTTTTTGTAGTTACCTAGGGTCTGTCATCTTTACAGATCCTACAAAATGATGTGATTGGATTAGTACTGCCTAATTTATGAAGCTCAGAAAAATGCCACGAACTTTTTGACTGCATTCTTGTATAATGCATATAAAATAATTAGAAAATAAAATCTAATCTGTTACAGATTCAACGGAATTTACAAGAAAAACTTTTGTGGAACAGTTCGTGTGCTATACACACATTTTATTTATTTCATATTTGTAAAATTTTTATTATTTATAAATTGGTTTCATTTTATACAATGATGCCAAGTTTTTGCTTTATGAAGAAAGGCATCCATGAAATTACCCATTGTAAACAAAAAACACGTATTAAATCCCATTCTCCAGTAAAGGTTTCATCGTTGAAAATCATAAAAAATTTGCTTTGAAGCCACGTTTTGTAGTGAAGTGAAGAAATTCTACAAAAATTGGGAGAACAAAATTTGTTAGATGCTATCAGTGATCATCATTTACTTGACAAAGATAAGCCTGAGGAAAATGATTTTTTATATGACATTTCCTTCCACTTGTCTTAGAGTATCATTAATATAACCTTCTACTTCTTGTATAGATTTCAAACTATGTTCACTACGTGTCAGCAGTTCGTTAATAAAATAACTGTGCAAAACTTTCGCCTTTAGAAGATCTCGGTTCGCTCTCATCAAAAGCAATTCTAGCTCATTACCAAGATAGGGACCCATTTTAAGATCGGCAGCCATTTTTAGTAGCTGACATTTACGTTGACGGAATTCAACAATCTTTTCCAAATTGGAACGACGTCGCTTTTCCAACTCAATAATTAGGAACCGAGGATCAAGCTCTTCATTTAATAATTCTGGCAGTTCGGAACGCAATTTTTGCCCAAAATCTCTTATACGAGAAAGTTTTTCTTGGATATCCTTAATTAGTTGGCGGCGTACAGCCCCGCGTTCAGAGTAGCTTAAATTAACCGCACACATGGCTCCGATATCTAAAATATGATACAAATCAAAAATTCTTTGTGAATGTTAATATTAAATTTTTATTATATCGCACCCAAGACATATTCGTCCTTTTTATCATTTAAATGCAAATGATTTGCAATTTTTAATAGCTTTCGGGCTTTTTCAACTTGCTCATGATCAGGTAAGGGAATTTCTTTGCAATTCATAGATTTCAAGTGTTGAACATCATCGTCACAAGCATAAGAAACATAAACAGCACCACCGAAAACGCCATCACAAACAAGCACATGAAAAGGAGTCCGACCAGCGAAGCGAAGTGATTGCCGTTCCGGAAAGCGATTCCGACAGTAAGTCTTTTTGGGCTGGGCATATATATATATGTTTTCTTAAGAAACGGGGAAAGTGTGCAGCTTTCTATTTAGGGGTTTCCTTCCCGAAAAAGGGAGATAAATTCTGATGAAAAATTAAGAGCGATATAATTTTTTTTGTTGCATTTCATTGAATCGATTTGGTATGCTAAGCATTTATCTCCCTTGCACTGCGCGCTATTCGAAGGATTGACGATAAATCATCGGTTTTTTATTTACTCTCTTTTTCAGACCCATAACTATGGTAAAGGATGAGTGTAATCACGAATTTGTTTCTTTCCTTAATTTGGAATTGAAAAGCGTTCAGTCACAATATGGCTTTGTTTGGTTGCGGCAATTAAAATAGTTCTTGTTATTTCAGGTTCTGATTGCGTGGAAGTGCCACTGGACACAAATGAAAATCGTAAGAGTAGGAGCAGAGATCCGGTGGCCCCGCCACCTCCTCAATTATCTAAGTACGCCGAATATGAAAAGGAACGCCTAAAGAGGAAAAGGGAACATTCCAGACAGCGCTTAGACAGGGACACAAAAGAATACGAAGATCGCAATGAACGCGAACATTCAAACAAATACGATGATTATGAAGAGGAACGGGAGAGAGCCAAACGTTATCATGATTATCACTCAGACCATCGGAGTGAACGTGAGGTGAGAGAATACGAGTATGAACAACATGAAGAAAAGCGTTCAAAACGATCTAGACGTGAATAGCATGCAATTGCCAATGTGTTCACGTTGAAAAGATGTCCTCGAATACATGATAAAATAACTATGGTTCCTACAATGTCAGCAATTGGGTTTAAATGCTCTATCGGAAGTTCAAAGCGGTCGTTTACAAATTATTCCAAGTAAATATGAAGTGGAATGGCAACGTTGGTTAGAAGACTGTCATGATTGGTGTATATTAAGGCAGCTATGGTGAGGTCATCAAATTCCAGCATACAAAGCGATAACGCTAAAGAAGTATTGGTGGCCGCCCACGACGAGCAAGAGGCTCTAATGAAAGCTTTAGAGTTGTTAAAAAGCATCGATATTTCTATAACACGTGATCAGGATGTTCTGGATACTTGGTTTTCTTCTGCTCTATTACCGCTTTCAGTGTCAGGTTGGCCTAATAAGGAAATTAAAGGATATTATCCTTTGGACCTTATAGAAACTGGCCATGATATTTTCTTCTTTTGGGTAGCACGCATGGTTATGCTAGGATTGATATTTACTGGGCAAACACCTTTCCAAAAAATCTTGCTAAATGGTATTGTTTGCGATGCTCACGGTCGAAAAATATCCAAAAGTTTAGGTAATATAATAACGCCGCAACAAGTAGTAAAAGGAGCCTCTCTGCAGGTAAATGTTAAGATAAGCACAAGTTTCAAGTACTGCTTGACATTTAATTTTATATCAGAATTCGCAAAAAGAAATAGAAGCCTCAGACAAGGCGGGTATCTTGAACGACCTTGAAACTCAAAAATCATTAATAAGCGTGCATCGAATGTACCCGAGTGGTATACCAGAATGCGGTACGGACGCTCTTCGTTTCACTTTGTGCAGCCATAATATTAAAAATCACTTTATTAACTTTGACGTCACCGAATGTTATACGAACAAAAAGTTTTTGAACAAAATATGGCAAGCGGCGCGTTTTATTGCCGCGGCGGCTGAGAGTCTAGAGATATCCGCGAAAGTATTTGAAGACTTCAATGAATCGCTTCTATGCAAGTGGGATTTATGGATATTAAGCCGCTTGGCACATACTCTTCAGCAATGTAGAGAAAATTTTGAAAATTGTAATCTGCACTTTGCGACAGCGGGATTAAAAAAATTTTTTTACAATGAATTATGTGATGTTTATTTGGTAGGTTTGGTTTATTTAGAGCAAATAGAAAAAAAATGAAGAAAAAGGGATCAAATCTGATATATAAATATTTTTTTTTTTTTGTGTAGGAAACTACCAAAAATAATATTAAACTGAAGTCCCCCGAGGGCTATGTGCAATGTTCTATTCTCTGCATATGCCTTCGTTCCGCCTTACAAGACTTGCAGCTATTTACACCTTTTATATGCGAAGAACTCTTAAAATATATACCTCAACCTATTACTGTGGACGTATGTAAATTTTATAATTCAACTTTGGAAGCAGAAATCGAGGCAATTTTAGAGGTGTGCGAGCAGATAAGACAGCTAAAGAGTCGCAGTCAAATCTCACGTAAACATGAACCATATCTTAGACTATATGCCCATTCATTGAAAGCTTTAAGCATATTGCAACCACATCTCAGTGAAATTAAGGCGCTGACGCTAACAGCTAAGGTATTCTCGTAGAACAACATCTCTTCGTCACCCATCACATTGCGTTAGTAAATTTCCTGTAAATTAACACGAACGACGCGTTCAGAGTGCTTTGCCTAGTCCTAGAAGACATTGGTAAAAAATAATAGAACATTTTGTTTTACCTCGGTTGGCGGGGCGGCTGGGGGTTTCAGGTAACCTGTTCATATAGCAATCTCTATAATAAACAGTATTTTCGCTATTTTATAAGAATGCTCTAACCATATCTAATATCTCACCATTTACTTGTGATCAAAAATGTGCTACTTATGTGACATTTCATCAAAAACGTAATTAGTACAACATTAACGCGTCGCCGACTCGGTTAGTCTCACTCCTCTTATGCTATCATTATTTAAGTTATTTTATAATATAATAAAAGAAATTATTATAATTAAAGAAAATAGTTGAATCAATATTTCTTTTATTTAACCCAATTGAAAATTTTTAAATTTATCATAATTATAAAAGCCCGCGCGTACTTGTCGACCTCCGAAGAAACGGCCGTTCAGATCAACAACAGCTATAAATGGGAAAAGTTTTTAAAGTTGAAATTGGTTGGCTTGATAATAAAAAACTAACCCTTAATTGCGCTTTCAATGCGTTTAAATTCTACAAAAATTTTCACGGCATCTTCGGGCGCTGTGCCGAAGGCCTCGTGAATAATAACGTTAGCCACTTCACCATATTTTGTATTGCATTCATCTTTAACTTCAGGTTCAAGGTCTTCATCAACATCGCCAGGGCCGACCATATTCTTTTTTGTTTAGCAAAGTATATAAAAAAAAGCATATATATATATATATATACATGTATATGTATATACATAAAGATTCATATAATGATAATAAAACATTCATAAATTCTTGCGTTTAAATTTAACAAAATGCAAACGTTAACTTATCTTACCCTTAGCAAAACCACTTTACTGGGATCCTTCATAATTTCCGTGATGCTGGGTTCTGTATTGGTTGATTCTGTTGTTGCCATGTTTGCTTGTGGTGTTGCGGACCCTGCTGAAACTGAAACTGCAGCCGGTGGGGGAGGCAAGAATACATCACGTTCATGTATTATGCGACCACCACGCTTAGAGGTCTTTTCCACTTGCAATGCCATGGACATACCCTGCTCCTGTTTACCCAGCCCTTGGCCATCTTTAAAACCATATTTAGCCATAATTTTGGCAGCCACGGAACTGGCAGAATAGGGTATGGTTACATTCGAGGAACTGTCACCGCTATCGTTAGCTATTGAAATTTCTTGCAGCGATGCTGGTGGAGCTATAGCCACCCCTCCTTTGCTCGCCACCGAGCCCGGCGCCGGTGGGCTATAACGTTCTTCTTCACTAATACGTTGACCGAAACCACTAAATTTAACAGGGGGTGAATTATGAGTATTACGGCTTCGACTGCTGCGTTTGCTGCTACCGCGATCGTCTCGCCGACTGCGATCCTTTTCTTTAGCGCTTTGTTGCTTGTCTTTCAATTTTTCATATTCATTTGGCCATAAGGGATCATATTCATCTACGAAATCCCAATCCTCTGTTTTCACGTTCTCCAGAGATGGCACTAAATGGGCATTTATCACCGGTTTTGTATCGGCGGGTTTAACCAAAACTGTTTCTTCTACATTCTGAGTTTTTTTGGCTTTCAAATTTACCACGGGAGTCATCAACTAATAAAATCACATTAAAAAAAATGTAATAATGCTTCGTACACATAGAATACCCACCGCCGGTTTCTTGGGCATTTCTTTAGGTTTCGGTAATTGGGCTTTTTTAATAGCCAATTGCGTTTGCAACATTTTAATGCCTGAAGAAGACCATCCATCAATTTGTGAGGCTTTTGGTTTTGTATCAATATCGTCGTATAAATCCATGACTATGCTTTTTATTCCCTCTCTTTTTTGAGATACCGACGCCAAATATACTAAGCCAATTCTTAAACAGAAATGACTAGCTTAACTACCTCAGCTTATTTTGGGTGTTGCTAACTTTAACAATCAAGGCCTAAATCAGGGAGGGGCTGCTTTTCCCTCAAAGGAGGCAATTTTTCTATCATGTCACAACAGGTTGAATGAATTAATAAGCAGATAAAAATTGGAGCACGTACACTTTTATTATTTCAACGGAATGTTTTTAATCAGATATGTTGTGAAAAAAATTTTAATTTGCTATAATTTAGAGAATATAAAGTCCCTTTCCTTCTGATGATAAATTAATTTAAATTTGGCAGTAAATATCAACTGTATACATAATATGATTTTTACTTTTATGTCGGAACATTTTTACAAAGTACTTTTTCACGCACGATGCCTAGTGAAAAATTATTTCTTTTTTTAAAATTCGCTTTATTTCGTCAATTATTCGTTTTAGTAATTCAACGTTTTCCCCTGTTTCCATCGGTTAAGATATTTACAATTTTGTTCCACTTTACATTTTGTTTTTGCCAAACTTCTCGAACCTTAAAAAAATCTTCGCTGGTGGTGGTAATTTTCATTGCAAACAATTTCTCGATAACTTCAAATCGATCATTTGTTCTTCGAAGAAAAATTTATTGTTGACTCGTATCAGTAATATTACTTGATTCGGCTAAAAACAGTGCGTAATACGTATAGCATTGCAGTTTTAATTGGTCACGCAAATTATTTGGAGTATTAGCAATACGTCGGATAGTTCTTCGTGAGAAACTGAATCTTTTTCAAACGGCATTTTATTATTACGAACTAATAATCTCGCAATATCTGACAAGCTTTCCTTAAAAAATTCTTCATCAGGAAATCATTTGTATATTTATGTAATTAGCTTTTGCCAATGTTCTATTTGTGCTTGACAGGCACAAGGTATTTTGTTGCTTATTTGAGCAACTTTTAGTTTTTCTGTTTCCTTCCTCTGTTCTGGTGGAAAAAGCTTACATTTGTCAAATTCATTTCTTCATTTATCATTAAAAATGCGGCATCCTGAATCTATTTTGCTCATTTTATGGGCTAACGGCCATTATAAAACACTTGCACTTGTACAGCTGAGTACGTAGTGAACCCACTACAATCAATTTGCAGCATTGCTATGCGTGCCATAGGTGGGAAAATTAAATTGTTTGAAATTTTACATGCAGCGGAATCGACAACGTGGCGCCACATTAGGCCTGGGGAGTATCACTGCCTGCTTTTAATTACGTTAACTACAACGTAAACGTTTTCAAAAATCTCTTTATTTGAAAGAAACATATTTTTAATAGTTTTATGCTGATCTAGTGGCTTAAAAATCTTCAAAACGATTTGAAACAAACGATGAAACGAAAATAAATTATTCTTGGGGCTTTTTGATGCATATACGCATATGATACATATACGCATATGATACACCGCAACGTGTATACACTTAAAAGCACAAAACACTTTATGTTTTCGTCTTGTAAACATTTGGTACAGTGTGACCGCCAACTTCAAATTTATACAATGCACATATAATATATGTGCGAATAAATGCTGTAAATATTTCGGTAAAATTCTTATTTAATTAAAAAATACATTATACAAAGTATCATCACTATCTAAGGACTTGTGCCTCTTATTGGCGGGTTTGCAGATGTCCTCATGGTAGAAACTTCTTGGTTTCGAAAAGAAATAGTCTTCTATCCATGTTCGTACGACTTCAGCTTTGCTGAATAGACAGAAGGAGACACATCTGGTGAATACGTCGCAATTTGCAGATATTCCAGGCTCAAGTTGAAGATCCCTTTATGGATTGCTTTTACTGGAGATAGACGGAGGTAAGCGAATTTTCAACGTTTTGCGGCAAAAAGCTTTGGCACGAAGTCTCGCAAACCACTTCCTACCTGCTTACTACCTTACTACGTTTTCGTTTCAAGATAAATAATTTTCGTAGGGTCACCGACATTTTTTTCCGGTTTAACTCAGTTTAACACCGGAAACATTGCAGTGCTCTTCACCGGTCGGTGTTATTACATTCGCAAATTTGGACTTTGCTGTAAGCAAAGTGTGTTTAATAAGTAGCGGGTTATACTGAGCGATAGCTTATGGACACGCGGCTTATACTTTACATATACCAATGCCTAAGGTTTTCAAAATTTCGGAAAAAATAGGTAACCATAGTAGGCAATAAAGTCACTTTTTTATATTCGTGATAAAATTTCAAAAATGATGCAGTATTTTTATGCAAAGACATATTTTCTAAGAGAGCTGCTGTATTGAAGAATGCACAAATTGTCAATAGATACGGCCCAAATTTAGCAAAATTAATTTACCTGTCGAAGGTTTTATTTTTCAATTGAGTCCGTCATAAAAAATTACAACTTAGACTTTGCCTGGAGGTTGCTTTCCATAAGATATTATAGGATCTAAAATGAGACCCATCTGATTCAAATTCCTTATAATTAATTTTGTGCTAAATTGCTACTAAGGACCAATTTTCATCCTAAAACAATAAAAATTTGATTTTTTTGCTTATTTTTCATTACATGCGGTGAGACACAAAAAATAGATTTACGTAGTTTAATTTCGGTAAGATTAATTTTCATGTGAAGTCTTTTTCGCAGGAACCGTTATATGCCAGAGTTTCCCCAAAAATTTTCCTATCTAATCCTAGTTACGCTAAAATACGTTAATGTACCAAGTTTCATTAAAACAAAGCAAATAAAACCAAAATTTGAAAATGTAACAAATATGTTTATTTGTTTTAATTGGACATTTTTCAATTTTTTCTATTATTGTTCTTCTTAATTCCCTAATTAATTCAAATTGTCTCACCTTTCCCTCCACCATCTCTTCATCGCATAACAGTTCTCAAAATATTGCAAATATCTTTTTTTTACGTTATGCAATTCTATTTAGCTTTAATCATTGCACCACCTGACTTAAGCGCTATTCACAATTCTGTTCAGAATGGCGATCTTACATATATATGGTCCGCATTATGGCCAGGTTGCCTTTGGACATTCGATTAACTAGTTTGATTATTTTGAGCTACATATATAGTGTCTTGGACGATAAGATTGTTATGGATAAAAGCTTAAAATTGATTTAATGCAGTTCAAATCGTTTTAATATGCTTTTTAGCTGCCGGTTTAAGTGTACGTTCCGTATGAAAATTGCAAAGTGTATTACAACAAAACGATTTAAAAGCTTACCTGCAGAGACTTGTGTGGGCTGATAACTCTGGTTCAGATTTGTTTGCTGTTTTAAGGGTTTGTAGGGTAGGATTATTTTCAAATGTTTGGCATATTCTTACTTCTACTACTCACTTAGCTTAAACACTTTTTTTTTTAAGGAAAATTGCTATACTTCGCAAAAAAGTTCAAAGATAAATGTTTTCTGGACATATAAGCCACAAATCTATTGGCTTAGTCCATCTCCATTTAACATACCAAAAAAAAAAAAAAGAAAAGATATTTATGAGTGTAGTTTATAATAAAATAAGTATTCTTTTTTTAGATTTGGACTTCCATGCATGAACACAATAGCTTAAGTATACTATACGACCAGAAAAGTATACTATACGACCAGAAAGTATACTATACGACCAGAAAAGTATACTATACGACCAGTCATTTCTTAAGCTTAAGACCTTCTTTCTTAAGCTTAAGAAATTAAGACCTTCTTTCTTAAGCTTAAGAAATGACTGGGCTCAACGATTTGTTATTAATTTACGCTCTATTAAGGCAATGTATTTGTTGACGCAAGAGATTCATGCACTTTGATACTTTTTAATTTTTTTTCCAACGTGTTCATTCGATGGAAACCGAGAAATCGATTGTACTAAAAATAACCATAGCAGGAGCATTTTATCCCAATCACTTCACAGGTTTTAATCTGAACAGCATGGATCGCGAACGTGGCGTTTGTCACACTTTGTGCGGTAATAATTCCTGCAGTATAGTGTACTTTGCAAACCTCAGTACTCAACATATCGGACAATTGTATATGCGTTCCATTAAAGCATTATTTAAGGGCGTTTTACCTAAAGACATTGAGGTGCGTTGTCAACCAGGCTCTGAACGAGTGTTTGTTACATTTACTAAAGATCCAGAATGTGATTGTGAAGATGTAAAAAAAAGGCTTTTGGTACGAGCTCGTGTGAAACCGGACGTTTATAAGGCAATAAGAATGCCCATGTCTTCTCCGCTTCGTTTATATTCAATCAATGTTTATCTCTAAAACATAATTTTTGCCAGAGTTTGCAACACTGGTCTTACATCACTATGAACAATTCAACAATCTACAAATATACTTAAAATGATAAAGGCCTTAGCATACAATTCTCAATAATGTGTTAAGTTAATCAGATAGTTAAAAAATTTTAGAAAATTAGATAAGATGTATCTTGATCACGAACGCATTTGCAACAAATTTATTGTAAAAAAATGAACAATTCCATTCTACAGCAGCCGTGACTATTTATAGATGATAAATGATATCGCGTATCATTGATCCCATGACAGACGGAATACTTTTCATTCAAAACGTTTTATTATAAAAGAAAACACAACAACAAACATACGTCCAACACTTTGTGAATTTTTTTAATGGAATGTTTATTTTAATTTCCTAAAAAAAAAAAATAAATAAGTATTTAAACCTATGTCGACAGAGCCATTTCGCAAGCATCTTCGCTGCAAGTAGCGTATGCCTTGAATTAGAAACATACGCGTATTTCTTCTTGATTTCCACTTTATTCACTTTTTGTGTTCATTTTTCATAATGAAATTTCCTCTTTTTTAATGCTAAGATAAAATTTCGCTTATTCAAAAGGAGTAAAATCTTCCTTGTTCTTAAAGACATATTGTTGAAATTTCTGCCGTTGTTGAGATTTACTCTAGACTAGTGTTGCTAATGAAAAATGGAATTCATCTACAAATTTTCATTTCCTTATCGAAAATTCTATCTTCGATTTTCTGTAACTTTAAAAATAAATAGTGCAGAATGAAAGCGCAGTCTGCACTTGTGCCAGCTAGTGGCATCCCAATTACATATTATGATTTGGGATACGCTGCTTTTAAAAACTTCCTTTTCTAGAAATTTACGCGTAGTAACGTGAAAAGTTTCATGCGGCCTTAAGAATACAGCACCGTGAATCATTTTATTATTGTTTTCTGAAGTCCAAAGACGTTCGATGTATGCAATGCTTGGGATTTTATTTTCATTGTGCTTAAAATACACGAAATCGCCGGCGGAGAACACCTTTTGATTGATGATCATGCTTTCACCGTGCATAGCAGCCGTGTCAACATCTTCCTTGTCTTCTTGATCTTAATCAGGCTCCTCTTGCGGTAATTTTTGTTGCTTCATAATTTCTATTTCAGATATCATTTTATCTAAACTATAATTCAGGGCGGCCGAGCTCAAGGTATCTGCGCGAATTTCACTGCGTTTCTTGATAAAGAAACTCTGCAACTCTGTGGAATCTTCGAAAACGTCAGAATCTGTGCGACAAACGACGAG